CTAAAAGTTCCAAAGTAGCACGGACTATGGTGAGCCCGTAGTGGACTTACCCGGCACCGGAGCGGGGCTGTGAAGGAACAACACACACACACATCGCAGGAAATACTCAACCAGTCTCACCCGTCTTCTGAGACAGAGCGGAAGACTGATCTCGGAAGAAAATTAGCTTAGGATATGATGGATTAGGAAGTGGAGAGGAAGACAGACGTAACAGTAAGCGAGCATCACCTTCCGGAGCAGGCTGGGGATAAACACATAATCAGTCGATTAAGGCAGTGTCTGGGATGCTCCCGGACGCAGGTTCGAAACCTCGTCACGGCCCTTGTGGATTTGTTCATTTGATGCATCACTTTAGTGTGATCTCTGTGTGTAACAACAGCATGCTGGAACACGCTAGGATCCCCAGCTAGAGGACCCCTTCTCTGCCTCACCCTATGTAAACAATCCCCCCCTTCCCCCCGCCCCTCCGAGGCGGGAGATCTACTAATGTTATGTATGTGGATGCTGCAGAGATTCAGATAGGTTAATGGTAACTAGAATTCAATCCTCCAAACTGCAATGTAATTAGGATGAAGGATGTATGACTGTGTGAGAGGGATACATACAAGTGTACCATGGTGTGTGTGTGTACTCACCTAATTGTACTCACCTAATTGTGCTTGCTGGGGTTGAGCTTTGGCTCTTTGGTCCCGCCTCTCAACTGTCAATCAGCAATCAATGTGTGTGTGTGTGTGTGTGCGTGTGTGTGAGTGTGCGTGTGTGTGAGTGTGCGTGTGTGTGAGTGTGCGTGTGTGTGTGTGTATAAGTGTATGAATACTTAGTTATGATGAGCAACTACAGAATATGAATAGTCCGTTCATATGAATTTAATTGTTCAACTGTTTAACTTGACCACACCAAACAGATATATACACATAGATAGTGCTTATAATATGAGGTGAAGATGAGGTGAGCAAGTGACATGAGGTCACGGAGATGATGAAGATGAGAGACATGACAAACGTCTAACAATTCATATTCATGAAAATGTACCAACAAGACAAGAATCAATAGTGAATTTCCCCCCCTTAACTGTCTTGGATGATCATTTTAGATAAGAGAGCCCACACCTGTCCGTCACACCTGTCCCGTCACACCTGCCCCGTCACACCTGGTCAGGTAACTGGCAGCTGTATCAGTTGGAAGGTGATCAGTGACGTCAGAGCAGCCCAATGCTATTTGGCCGGGCTGATTAAACATCCATCACTCCTGGAGGGACGGGAACTGGACAGTGGTAGTGGAACTATCTGATAGTCCTTGTTACTGTCTCCCGCCACACCTGGACGGTCCCCCTGTCCACCTGGACGGTCCCCCTGTCCACCTGGACGGTCCCCCTGTCCACCTGGACGGTCCCCCTGTCAACCTGTGACAGAGTCATCACGCCACAATCACTGCCAAGTCACCTATATATATATATATATATATATATATATATATATATATATATATATATATATATATATATATATATATATATATATATATATATATATGTGTGTGTGTGTGTACTTGATATGTCAAAAGCTTCAGGGGCTTGTTATTCACCTAGTTGTGCTTGCGGGGGTTAAGCTCTGGCTCTTTGGTCCCGCCTCTCAACTGTCAGTCAACTAGTGTACAGGTTCCTGAGCCTACTGGGCTCTATCATATCTATATTATAAACTGTGTATGGAGTCAGCCTCCACCACATCACTGCCTAATGCATTCCATCTCTTAACTACCCCACACTGACAGAATAGAGGGCTCACGGTGAGGGCTCAGTTTGAGCCCCCGAGAGGGAGAGCGGCGCTCATTTGACCCTTGGCTCCAGGACGCCATCTGTGACGACTCAGCACAAGATCGAGTCAAGTTTTGAGCTGAGAAGTATCAAGAAAGGAAATTAGGAGAAAGTTCTAAGACAGTAGGTTTATAACGCGCAAGAAAGGTATACGAGGATAGGACAGGAGGATAGGAGGACGGAGGGAAGACATGATGCTCAATCACTTGGCACATCGGGGATCGAACGCCGACCCTGCAACAAGCGATGTGTTCCCTGCACCGACCAGTCCAAATAACTGACTCTGGTTACCAAAACCTTTACACAAACTGACACACACACATACACCTGTTGTGTGTGTGTGGGATGGGGTATGAGGAGCGCCTGAGGGAACTGTGCCTTACGACACTAGAAAGAAGAAGGGAGAGGGGGGACATGATAGGAACGTATAAGATACTCAGAGGGATTGACAGAGTGGACATAGACGAAATGTTCACACGGAAGGTTGTGGAAGCAAATACTATTCATAATTTTAAAACCAGGTATGATAGGGAAATGGGACAGGAGTCATTGCTGTAAACAACCGATGCTCGAAAGGCGGGATCCAAGAGTCAATGCTCGATCCTGCAGACACAACTAGGTGAGTACACACACACACACACACACACACACACACACACACACACACACACACACACACGCCTCCGTTACTCCCAAAATAAACCTGTAGTCCTGTTCGCAACCCGTCTAAATTACCAACTATCACTGGTAATCGGACACTAATGACAGAACAGCTCCGGTCTGACCATCGACAATTATTAATTTAATCTGCGAGCGCTCACTCAAACGACCCTCACAATCCCGCAATTGCATTCAGAGGCAGAGTTTGGTTGATCTGTTTGTTTAGCTGCTCTTTCTTATTTATGGCCACCCCAGCACGGCCTCCTGCATGAGAGAGAGAGAGAGAGAGAGAGAGAGAGAGAGAGAGAGAGAGAGAGAGAGAGAGAGAGAGAGAGAACTAGTAGCCTAAGGCTTACCATTATATATGAGAAAGGAAAGCTCTCAGTCTGCTAACTTTATTATAAACTGTAAATCTCGGCATTATATATAAATATATATATATATATATATATATATATATATATATATATATATATATATATATATATATATATATATATAAGTGTATCTTATATCCAATACTTTCTTTACATTCAATAATATACAAGGACCAATGAAATATTTCTGCATTACAAATTTACGATATTATATCTATATAAAAATCTAAAGAGATTCTTCTGACTTTTCCGACTTCTTGAAAAACGTTCAAGAAAGTTGTGTAAACTTTAATTTTATTATTGATGGTGGAAGATGGAGGAGGAAGACGAGGAGGAGGAGGAGAAGAAGAAGGAGAATGAGAAGTATGTAGGAGAGTAAGAGAGATAGAGAGATGGAGGGAGGGAGGGAGACAGATATTAATATGAAGGGCAATAGAGAGTAATGTCACTCATGTCAACCTTATTAGAGAAAACGTGACTTAATATACGACAGAAAATGGGAACAAAGCAGCCTATTAAAATGGAGCAAAGAACTGAAAAAAAGGTTAGACTGACTTGTTTCCGTTCTCTCTTTCCTTACCTGAGCCTCCAGTTCGCATCCCTTTTACCTGGGGAACAGGTTGGCTAGGATGTTTCACTGTTGTTGTAGCCCATCCAGCTACCAAACTCTTGTTTATAAATGAAAATCTTGACCCAACACTACAATGTGTCCCTATGCTCGTCCATCCAGTGGCCGACCCCACACACGCATTGATCCATTTTAACAAGCACTTCATTCAATATATGAAGATTCTCAAATATAAATTAATATATATTTGCATATTATGCGTATTATGGTATTAGAAGGAGCGAAGGTTATGGTTCTGTTGACCATTATTTTTATTCGCAGTTCGTGTGTGAAGCATTTAACTGGAAACACAAACCGTAACTGTCTCTATTTTCCGCTTGTTACAACTTGTAATAAAGTTGTTACATTTTGGCTTAACGTGTTTATGACGTATTAGAACGTTGTTACAACTTGCTATATTGGTTGTTATAACTGGTTAGGAGGTGTTAAAACTTGTTCGAACGTTGTACCAACGTCGTAGTTTCGCTGTGTGTTTGGCGGGTTACACCGTTGTGGTTCCAACAGAGGTCGTCAGCGAAGCACTTGTTCAAGAAATATTTGAACGTCATCTGTTGTGAGTCGTGTGTAAACTGTTTGTCAATAAAAAAAAACAGGGGTTAGGCGGCTAGGTTAACGAGCATTTAGCCTTTGTTGATGAGGACGGACTGCTACACACATGATGACGTTCAAACTATACTCTAAAAAGTGCTTTATTCTCGGCCTGTGTTCGACTCGAATCTCTGTAACTGCTTCATTTGCATAATGAAAATGCATATAAACTAACTTTATATGGATATAAACTAACTTAATCTACACGTAACTGTTTAAGAAAATGTTGTTTTTTATTCCACAATGTTATAACCGACCAATGTGTGTTTGGGGTCGTTATAACCGACCAATGTGTGTTTGGGGGTCGTTATAACCGACCAATGTGTGTTTGGGGTCGTTATAACTGACCAATGTGTGTTTGGGGGTCGTTATAACCGACCAATGTGTGTTTGGGGTCGTTATAACTGACCAATGTGTGTTTGGGGGTCGTTATAACCGACCAATGTGTGTTTGGGGGTCGTTATAACCGACCAATGTGTGTTTGGGGGTCGTTATAACCGACCAATGTGTGTTTGGGGTCGTTATAACCGACCAATGTGTGTTTGGGGGTCGTTATAACCGACCAATGTGTGTTTGGGGGTCGTTATAACCGACCAATGTGTGTTTGGGGTCGTTATAACCGACCAATGTGTGTTTGGGGGTCGTTATAACCGACCAATGTGTGTTTGGGGGTCGTTATAACCGACCAATGTGTGTTTAGGGTCGTTATAACCGACCAATATGCTTATGGGGTCGGCCGCAAGTGAGCAGTCTGAGGATGATCTGGTAAATAATATTTAATTCACTGGCGTTAGGGGAAAGGCGGGAGAATAGTTCCTGTTCCTCCCTTGCTAGTTCCCTTCCATGGTAGTTCCCTTCCATGGTAGTTCCCTTCCATGGTAGTCCCTTCCCTACCTCCTTCGAGTCCTGTCTCAACCAATCAGCGTGTACGTACCGTTGAGGAGGTGACCAATGAGCGTGGTGGGCATGACGATAATGTTGACAAGCAGGTCGGCCACGGCCAGATTGGCTATGAAGACGTTAGTGACGGTGCGCATGCGCGGCGCCCGCATCACCACCGCCACCACGAAGCTGTTCCCGATGACGCCCATGACGGAGACGAAGACGTACGCGACGCAGTAGAGAATAGTGACGGAGAGGGAGTGACGGAAGGTCGGCACCTCGTACTCGACACACAAGTCGCTCATCTCTGTCCCGTTTGGCGGGCAGGTCGTGGTGTTGTCGTCCAGGGTGTCGTAGTAGTGGTTGGGGTTGCTGTAGTAGTAGTACTCTGTGGGGGTGGTTCTGGCCGTGGTGTTCACATCCTGGGAGTACATGGTGTAGGTGCTTGGGCACGGCTTGGGCCTTGTTTGGTGCTTGTTGATGGCTGGGTGTAGATGGTTAGTAGACGGGTGAGTGGTTGTCTGACCCTTGTAGATAGGTGGGTGTAGGTGCTTAGTAGACGGGTGAGTGGTTGTCTGACCCTTGTAGATAGGTGGGTGTAGGTGCTTAGTAGACGGGTGAGTGGTTGTCTGACCCTTGTAGATAGGTGGGTGTAGGTGCTTAGTAGACGGGTGAGTGGTTGTCTGACCCTTGTAGATAGGTGGGTGTAGGTGCTTAGTAGACGGGTGAGTGGTTATTTGACACTCGTAGATGGATGAGTTTGGGTGATGAGGGTGAAGCAATAGACGCCAGAATAACTAACACTCTCACAGGAAGATGGTGGCCAAAAAGTGTCAGGAGTGACAGCTGAGACAAGAGCGTTCTCCTCTACAACACATTTGGTGTTTTAATCACTTATTACAAGTGTTTATTAGTTTCCCTTAAGGTTGCAAGTTTGGTCGGACTTGCTGCTTGTGGTAATTACCGTCTGTTTGGACTTACTACTCAGGGTAAAGGACATCTAGGACTTGTTGTTTGTGATTCCAGACTCTTTGGACTTGTTCTTTGAGGTTCCAGACTCTTTGGACTTGTTCTTTGTGGTTCCAGACTCTTTGGACTTGTTCTTTGAAGTTCCAGACAATTTGAACTTGCTACTCAAGGTCCAATTTCCAAAACACCCTAACTGCAATTCCAGGATCTTTAGAACCCTATTTCCCCTTCATGCGTCATGGAACGCGCTACATAAGTCCCGTAGAAGTAGCCAATGTGCTTTCCAAGTCCAGTTAGACGTGCTCCTCAGAGCTGGTGAGCGGTGGGTGCGCTGGTGCTGGTTGAAGTAGCGGCAAGTGGACTCCGAACATCTTCCAGTGTCCAGGAAATGCTGCCGTTCATTCTGGCGGGAAGGTTGTGTTCGGCTACCATGGCGACCCTTCCTCCTCCTTCGCCTCCTCCACACGCACCTAACCAACTGGAAAGATAATGTGGAAATATTATTATCTTGTTTATATATATATATATATATGTGTGTGTGTGTGTGTGTGTGTGTGTGTGTGTGTGTGTGTGTGTGTGTGTGTGTGTGTGTGTGTGTGTGTGTGTGTGTGTGTGTGTACTCACCAGCGTGGTGTTAACATCATCTTAATACAGTTTCATACACTCCCCCTCACCCCCCCCCTGCGTCTCGTCTCCTGTGTACTCGCCAATAATACACAGCAATACACCCAATAAAAGCGTGCAGAGTGAGAGACTTGCACCGCAGGTAAAAAAACAGCCACAGGAGAGAGCGTAGCGGCGCCCACCACGTCAACAAGAAAAAACACGAAAGACACAAGCCACTTCGAGAGAGGGAGAAGAGGGAGGAAATGGACCCCCATCACACCCCCATCGAGGGGGAGGATAGACCCCCTCACACCCCCAGAGAGGGGGGGGGAGAAGGGAACAAGGGGGGGCATATACCCCCCTGGTGTCAGTAAGTAGTGTGGCTGGTGTGTGATTTATGGTACCTGGGGTTACCCGCCCATTGTTAGGACGTCATGCATTATATGATGCATTGTCGAGCCACACTACCGGAGCCCCAGTCACACTACCGGAGCTCCAGTCACACTACCGGAGCCCCAGTCACACTACCGGAGCTCCAGTCACACTACCGGAGCCCCAGTCACACTACCGGAGCTCCAGTCACACTACCGGAGCCCCAGTCACACTACCGGAGCTCCAGTCACACTACCGGAGCCCCAGTCACACTACCGGAGCTCCAGTCACACTACCGGAGCCCCAGTCACACTACCGGAGCCCCAGTCACACTACCGGTGCCCCAGTCAGAGGAAAGAGGACGTCGCAGGGTTTAAGTGGGGTCCCAGAAGTGAAGACATTCCCTTGCCAGGGAGTACCCTGCAGGGAGGACTCAGAGCTCCGGTAATGTTCCCCAGAGATAAACACATGATGTTAAGACCGTTAAGAAACAGGCTGATAAGACACGATGCTGTATAGCATAATAAAGGTGCAGGAAGTGAACCAACGAGAGAATACAGCAGCCAGCTGTATCCTCACATGATGAAGATAACGAAGTAATAAACTTGAATACAGTTACAAAATACAGAGGAATCTTCCAGCCAGGACCGTCGAGCACCGCTACTGGAGTGAAGGTTTATTGACGGAAAGTCTTACCCAGTTACCTAAGTCGCACAAGGTATCGTAAGTCGCACAAGGTATCGTAAGTCGCACAAGGTATCGTAAGTCGCAGAAGGTATCGTAAGTCGCACAAGGTATCGTAAGTCGCAGAAGGTATCGTAAAGAGCTTTAAGAGAGTCACCGACAGGAACAATAATCCAAATACTGGTGAAACACTCAGAACAGATTACATTACGATACAAAATGCCCGAAAGGCGGAGCTTATGAGCTAATGTTCGACCCTATTAGCACATCTAGGTGAGAACACACACCAGCACACACACACACACACACACACACACACACACACACACACACACACACACACACACACACACACACACACACACACACACACACACACACACACCTCTCAGGCAAGAAGAGCCATTAAGGAAAGGAAGCTGTTTGTCTGCCTGTCAATTCATTAAGCAGAAGGGGTCAATTAGCAGCTTTCATTGTGTGTGAGAGAGAGAGAGAGAGAGAGAGAGAGAGAGAGAGAGAGAGAGAGAGAGAGAGAGAGAGAGAGAGAGAGAGAGAGAGAGAGAGAGAGATAAAGCCAAAGCAAAATAGGGAGATAACGAAGGGGGAGGCAGATGACCAACAATTTCTCTCCTAGACAATAGTAGTTCCTCATGGGTCTAGCCAGCCAAGGAAGGTCTGGTTGCGGGGTTAGTGGTAGTGGTGGTGGTTGATGGTGGTAATGTGGGTGGTGGTAGCGCCCACCACCACCTGGGGCCAGATTCACGCAAGCATTTACGAACGTGTACATCTTTCCTCAATCTTTGACGGCTTTGGTTACATTTATTAAACAGTTTACAAGCATGAAAACGTCCCATTCAACTGTTGTTATTGTTATAAACAGCCTCCTGGTGCTTCGCAGCTCATTAACTGTTTAATAATTGTAAACAAAGCCGCCAAAGATTGAGAAAAGATGGACAGGTTCGTAAGTGCTTGCGTAACTGCTTCGTGAATCAGACCCCAGGTCTCTAGGCACGTACTCTGGTCAACAAGGCTGTTAGACGCCGCTGCTCGCAGTCTGACGAATGAATTATAACCCTTTAGACGCGGGAACCTTTGGAGGATTTATCATGTCTCTTGAGAACCACCAGAGGTCGGCTGGTTATGGCCCCCATGTACATCTCACTCCCATATGAACAGCAGAGGAGCTGGCCATGTACTGCCCAGGATAAAGCCACAGGCAAGGATAAAGCCACGGGGGGAGGATAAAGCCACGGGGGGAGGATAAAGCCACGGGGGGGATGGATAAAGCCACGGGGGTAGGATAAAGCCACAGGCAAGGATAAAGCCACGGGGGGAGGATAAAGCCACGGGGGGAGGATAAAGCCACAGGCAAGGATAAAGCCACAGGCAAGGATAAAGCCACAGGCCAGGATAAAGCCACAGGCCAGAATAAAGCCACAGGCAAGGATAAAGCCACAGGCAAGGATAAAGCCACAGGCCAGGATAAAGCCACAGGCAAGGATAAAGCCACAGGGGAGGCTAAATACAGGCGTGACTGCCCTCCCCAGAGGTCAGAATTGGGTAGTTCCTCATTAGCGGTACTCAACTGGCCGCAGCGTCTCAGGAGACTATGATGATCCCAGCGCTCCTAAGGTCATAGTCTCAGGGGAGGGAGGGGGGAGGGGGTGTACTGATGGTGGTAGCGGTTGGGCTGTGGGTATAGGTATTCGTAAGCTGATTGTGCAATAGTTCAAAAGTCTATTGTATCAATATTACCAGGTCTATTGAATACATGTTCAGAATTCGACTGTGTATAAGTATTCAACGGTCTATTGTATAAGTAATCAGAGGTCTATATTGTAGAAGTGTTTGGAGTTCAGAGTACACAGGATTCCCTCTCTATAGGATTAGAGGACGGAGGATTCCCTCTCTATAGGATCAGAGTACACAGGATTCCCTCTCTATAGGATTAGAGGACAGGATTCCCTCTCTACAGGATCAGAGGACACAGGATTCCCTCTCTACAGGATCAGAGGACGGAGGATTCCCTCTCTACAGGATTAGAGGACGGTGGATTCCCTCTCTACAGGATCAGAGGACGGTGGATTCCCTCTCTACAGGATTAGAGGACGGTGGATTCCCTCTCTACAGGATCAGAGGACGCAGGATTCCCTCTCTACAGAATTAGAGGACGGTGGATTCCCTCTCTACAGGATCAGAGGACGCAGGATTCCTTCTCTACAGGATCAGAGGACGGAGGATTCCCTCTCTACAGGATCAGAGGACGGAGGATTCCCTCTCTACAGGATTAGAGGACGGTGGATTCCCTCTCTA